CACGGTATCCTTCTGGGGCGCCTCGTGGGAATGGGCCTGGGGGGCACTGTTTTACAGTGGCTCAGGTCCTTCCTAGAGGATCGCACCCAGAAGGTGTTGCTGGGGGACAACTGCTCGGCCGCACAACCATTGACTTGTGGGGTCCCGCAGGGTTCAATATTGTCCCCCATGTTATTTAACATCTACATGAAGCCGCTGGGAGAGATCATCCGGAGTTTCGGGGTGCGGTGTTATCTGTACGCAGATGACGTCCAACTCTGTCACTCCTTTCCACCTTACTAAGGAGGCTGTCCAGGTCCTGAACCGGTGCTTGGCCGCTGTGTCGGACTGGATGAGGTGAACAAATTGAAATTGAATCCAGACAAGACAGAGGTACTCCTGGTCAGTCGCAAGGCCGAACAGGGTATAGGGTTACAGCCTGTGCTGGATGGGGTCGCACTCCCCTTGAAGGCGCAGGTTCGCAGCTTGGGTGTGATCCTGGATTCATCGCTGAGCCTGGATCCCCAGGTTTCAGCGGTGACCAGGGGAGCATTTGCACAATTAAAACTCGTGCGCCAGCTGCGCCCGTATCTTGGGAAGCCGGACTTGGCCACGGTAGTCCACGCTCTCGTCACATCCCGCATAGATTACTGCAACGCGCTCTACGTGGGGCTGCCCCTGAAGACTGCCCGGAAGCTTCAGATGGTACAGCGCGCGGCAGCCAGGTTGTTAACGGGAGCAGCACTCAGGGAGCATACCACCCCCCTGTTGAGCCAGCTCCACTGGTTGCCAATCTGCTACCGGGCACAATTCAAGGTGCTGGCTTTAGCCTTTAAAGCCCTAAACGGTTCCGGCCCTACTTACCTCTCCGAACGCATCTCCTCCTATGAACCGACTAGGACATTAAGATCGTCTGGGGAGGCCCTGCTCTCGGTTCCGCCCGCATCACAAGCGCGGTTGGCAGGGACGAGAGACAGGGCCTTCTCGGTGGTGGCCCCCGGCTATGGAATGCCCTACCAGCGGACATCAGGCAGGCCCCTTCGTTGCTGGTGTTTCGGAGGAGGGTTAAGACGTGGCTCTTTGAGGAGGCGTTCGGATAGCTGTGCAATTGCAACTAAATCCAGGAATGACGGCATAACTGAACAAGGAACGGTAATGGAATGTGAGAACGGAATCTGATTTTATGTGAGGCGTTGATGTTTATATGTGTGTCGTTTGTGTATGTTTGTCTTTACATTGTTAGTGTGCACAATTTTTACTGTAAACCGCATTGAGTCGCCGGTCATGGCTGATAAATGCGGTATACAAATAGCGTAAATAAATAAATAAATAAGTCAGGCAATGCAGGCACTGGAGTGATGCATTCTGCATGCCCCACCCCCCAATGGGCACAGCTGGAATCACCAAAATGCATAGTGGTGCCAGAAGCCCATCTGATGAGGTAAAAAAATGCAATTCAAAACCTAATTCAGGATCTGAATCTCCAACCACTTCATCACAGGAAAGTGTTTGGCAGAGTAGAGCATAATTTCAAGATTCTGCTAAATTGAACCATTACATTGAGACAAGTATCACTGTTGTGGCTTTGTAGTGTAGAGACATTATTTGGAAGCCCTAAGTAAGTAAGTAAGTAAGTAAGTAAGTAAACATCATGCTTTGAGTAATTTCTGTTCCCTTCAGACAGAAAAATAAAACATCTTGCACTGGTCCTGAGAGTAGACCTACATGCTCATACCTTCTTAATCATATCCAGATGTTGAAATATTCCACTCCCAAACCATCTCAGTGCATTACTAGGTTCACATATGTATAATAATATAATACAATGATTATTACTTCCCATGGATTTTGGAATTGCAACTGCTCCTGAATATCGCCTTTGGATTACTGTAGCAGTCCACATGAGGCTGCTGTTGGAAACTCTTTGGACACAACACTGAGTAAAAAGGCTGCCATCAAACTGTTTATCAGGGCTGGTTGCAAAAAACATAAAAGCCCTTTGTTGAAACTGACTGACTATCCATTTCCAGGCATAATTCAAAGTGGTTGTCCAGCTTGGCATAATTCTAAATGCTGGTCCAGACCATATCTCCCTCCCTGAGCCCGCCAGATTTGTAAGCTCTTTGGAGGAATACCTTCTTTCCATCCTACCACCATCAAAAGTGTGTCTGTTAGGGACATAGGAGAGACATTTCTCAGTGACTGTTTCCAAGTCAGGGACTCAGATGGCACACTATCTGTTATTTTTCTGCCAGCAAGCAAAGATCCTTTTATTTAGGCAGGCTCTTTGGCTCTCTATGTATTGTTGCAGAAGGGATTCTAATAAGCACATACATCCTGTCTAGTTTTTCAGGCACCTTAAAGAGAAAATTCCACAAATATAATTTTAATAGCAATAAGTTAAATACCACCAAAAAAATCTTGTTGACTTTTAGGCCTGTTCCTGGGGTTATTTGGAGTGCTGATTCAGAAAATTGCGTATGGTAGGCTACATCAGCTCTAGTTCTTTAGATTTGTTATTGTGATTCCTTATGAGTGAGCAGATGAAGACTGGTAGATGGCTCCAGAGGCTGCCAACGGACTTGATTGCTGACCTCTGACTTCCTGGAGGGAAAGGCAGCAGGAAGACAGGCATATAGATGGCCCTCTCATCTCTGGAGAGGATCGTGGGGAATGGTGGTTGAGAAAGCAGCAGCACCTCTCTTTCTGTCTCTGGAGATGTCTGTGGTGAGGAGATGAGAAGATAGGAAGATGCAAGGAGTGATGGAGTGCTGCCACTTCTCATTCCTGTTTCTATCCACTCACTGCTGTTGCCTCCATTCCAAAATGACAGACTCATATGTGCACCCAGGGTGTGGGGAGCTGTCACCCCATGCCATACACCATTAGATGGGGGGAAGTCTCAGAAAGCCTTTCGTCATGAATCATCAGCTTTTTTTGGTGGTGGCAAGGGTTATTTTTTCATTTTAGCCTCAGATGTACTTGAAATGGGTGTGATGGGAGCCTTCGAGTTCTATGGCTGAACTTGAAAAAATCCCTTTGCCGCTATCAAAAAGAAGCCTGTGTGAAGAGGTCCTAAAAGTAAGCAGCACACTCAGGACCTTTCTTTTCCTTTTCATACATAAACAGGCATTGATGAACTGGGATTCTTTGTCCATCTTGGTTCCAAGCTGAAAAGTGTTTTCTTGACTTGCCCCTTGGTTCCAGGATACCCACCCACATATCCCATTTATTGCCCACCACAAAACTGAATTTAATAAAGGTGTGGATTTTTATACTCTGTATAAAATATACTCATCTCTGACATGCTTATTCCAGGGAAAAGGACTAAATGGTGCTTTCAGTCTAGATGGCATTTTTAGCTCAGTGATTCTAAGAATGTATATGAAGCTTTCTCCCAAGCAAACAAAGGCAGTGCACACAAAAAACTATGGCATTTCTCATCTATTTTAATCATCTGTCTCATTAGGCCAAAATTAAAAGCCTATCTACATTTTACTCTTTACTCCTCCTCCTGCCAAATATGAACTGAATCCAGGTTGTTTACATTTTGCACCAACTACAAAGACAGTTGATAAACTGCACACTCAATGTCAGACAGAACATCTCCCAGCTGGGGTATTTTTTAGCAAGGAAAAATAATCAACAATTGACCTGGCATTGTCAACATTCTGTAGAGATATACTAAAACATGCTCCTCGTTGAATTCTAAATAACTTTGAGATTGAGTGAGTTTCATAGAGCTGAACTATAAAACCTCTTTAGATTAAAATTTCAGTGTGTAACAATAATTATTTTAGCATTACCTGAGATTGCAATCTCGTTGCACTCTCCTGCAGCTCTTCTGTAAATAGTGTGTTCATTGACAAACTACTGCAAAACAGTATGCACAAAAGAAAAGAGGTTTAGCTTTAAACTGAGGCATTTCCTTGGTAACCACAGCATGTGGTTATTTCAAAATTAATTTGTTTTGCATCCCTAAAGGCCTGGTAACTTTTGGCAATCAAAACTATGATTATTTTGAGGCTGTAGTTTTCAGAGCTCCCCTTTAATTCTCAGACAATTTTACATTTTGATTAGCAAACTCATCATCTATTATTATTTGCTAACAAGTTCTTTTTTTCTTGCTTCACCAATGTGGTTTCGCCCAAGATAACATTAGACAATTCACAATTATTAAAGAAAGTTTATAAAACACATGCCTCAAAAGCAAAATGGTCCATGAAAACATTTTCAAATAAGGCATCTAACATCCACTAATATTCACTTCAGCTTTACACAATAATTTATGCATTTTTAATATTTGCTGTGCTGTTGATTTTTTTTGTTAATTTCTAAAACTCGAAAATTTCACAAGGGTCAACACAACAGTGCTTTCTTTCTGTCTTGTTTAGTAGTCTTTTAATGACACTTTTGTATGAGGATAAGCTTTATAATGAAATAGTAATTGGTCTTTATCTGTTCATGAAAAATGGATGATTCAATACTGATTTGAGAACAAAATAAAAGCATATTATAAAAGGCCAAACAAAAACACACACAAATGATCAGCGCTTAGTTGTCAAAATGTCCAGTGAAACATTATCTTATACTAGAGAAGACATAATTGTTAAAACATAAACCTGATGTATATAATAAATTCTCTGACTATTGGGAAAATTGCAAAAGTGCCTTAGCATTTTTAAAATATTTATTCTAAGCGGAGAATGCTATTTTGATCCTCTCAACATACTTCATAGGTTTCTCCTGTTTGAAGAGCAATTGGTTTCGTGATCACAGGTGCTATATCTGTTAACACAAGGCTGAATGAGAGGAAAGTTATTATGTATGATATTGTTTAAATACTTCTGAGACGTAGTACATTTGTTTTGTACATTTGTGTATGAACATATTTTCATGAAGATATTGAATCCATATCCTTCTTTCCTCCCAAGAGACTGCCAGAAGTGTAATGGAGTTAAAAATAAATGTTCTTATCAAAAGTCACAAAATACCTTCCCTTCGTAGTTTTCCTGACAGAGTTCAGGACCACCTCCCCATGGGGGGATTCTGCCTTCCCCCACTTCAGATATTAACCTGGAGTTCTGGACATCATGCCTTCCAATCATTAAATGAGCTGAGCAATGTTTTATTACAGATCTCATGTGGCCGAGCTTAGCAGGGCTTTTAAGTGCTCCTGGGTATGTCGTGCTTAGGCAAGTTATTTTCTGCTGTGGATTGTTGATGCTGCCACAGAAGGACAGAGTGATGTGCCTTGAATTCCAATGAAGAGCAATAGTGTTTTGTTTGGGGAGATTTTTCCTCCCCCCTGTAAAGAGTGAGTACTTTGAAAAGTCTTTTGTTACTCAAGTTGTATTGTGCATTTCGTGTTTTATCAGGCCTTCAGGTTTAATTTTTTTTAATGCTAACCAATTTCCAAACAATTGAAGCACAGGCAAGAAAATGTTAGGATGTCTAAGCTGCTGAATACTTGGCACTGAGCTTTATTTCAAAGACTTAATCTCTAGATATGTCTGGGGAAAAGGACACTAGTATAGCAAACTTTTTCAAGGCTAAAGCTGGACTGGAAGAAACATACCAACAATCATGTAAATAATATCCAAAGTAGAGCTTCTCAATATCATTGGCATGTTTCTTTTTGCTGACCTTGTGCTGACGGTTTAGATGGATTCATAAGCAAGGAGGTGGCCGAGCAATTTGATGCATGTGTTTTCACACACTGCTTTAGAGGATTAAATCCTTTCAGACTTGCCTATCCATCTGTTGCTTTTGGGCTGCTTTTCCTAGATGCAGACCCTTCCCTTTCCTAAACAGGGATGCTCAGATCCCTACTGCTTAGCGAGTGTGTATGAAGCAGGTTTTGCCGGATCCAGCCCTGATTATCACAGTTAGCCCGTTAACACTATGTATTTACAGTGGATTATTGGAAGGGAAGTAGGGGTTAAGTCAGTAGGTCTCCCTGCTTCCCTTGGGGTTAACCTGGCAGGCTATCTGGCACACACAGGAGGGCTGACAGGTAGCAGGATTTGTCTAAGCAGTGTGCATGAGAGCCAACAAGGAAAACTGAATGCTGTGGATTAGTTTTGGATTATGTTGTCAGAGTGAAGCCTGATGGACAAACTGCAGAGGAATAAAATGCAATCTGTTTGGGGAGAGAGACGGTTCTGCATGGTGTTCATTTTTCAAAAAATGGCAAGAGAAATCATTAATAATTTGTAAATCTGTGTCCATTAACTCTTCCCTTTGTTCTCCCATGAACATGAGTTTGCCACTGTTGTCTATCTCCTCTTCGTAGTGAGAGATGGCAAAAGGAAGATCCTTGTTTATAGATAGAGGGATAGATAGCTATTTGGAGAAGTCACCTGTGCTCATCCTGGGGGGAGGGCAGCTATTTCTTTATCCCTAAGTAAATGAGAAAGCTTTTGATGTTGAATCATACATTGCTTTATGGGAGAGAGTGTGTACAAGTTTCAAAGACTCTTAACACTTTTCCACAATATGCAACACAATAGTTTCTCAACAACAAAGAAAAAGGAAATGGTGATTGTTTAAACATTAAATTGATTTCCCCAGGGTGGATCCAGCACTTCTTTTACTGTGGGATGTTAGGGCACAAAATTTCTGCATGATTGCATATGAAAAATGCACAGAAAAAAGTAGACTGGTGCCGTTTTTCATTAAAATAGTATTTATCCTTCAAGCAGTCAAATGTTATTATACTCTTCCTGGTAAAAATGGCCATCTTAATCCTTTACCATGACAGAAGGAACCAGTAAAGAAAAGAGTCTTTTGCAAATATTGATAAAGGTATTATCAGGTTCCCACTGCTCACCAAAGAAATCTCTAATGGGAACCATGTGGTCTTTCAATTTAAATCCATCTCCATTTATCATTTTAATCAAGTAACTTGCAGCGTTGCATGAAATTTATTTTAGTGATTTGGATCTTTTATGATTTTGCTTTCTACACTTTATACATTTTTGTCAGCTGATTTTAGTTACTTTTATAAAGAAGGTGAGATATAAACGTTTCAAAAATAAAATATCAAATTACCCCAAAAGAACACCATTGAAGTACTAAGTTATTAAGATGAAAAGAGAAATGATATAAAAGGGTAAAATCCAAATCAGGTGCATTGGTTTCTTTGCTTAACATTTATACAATATACCAGCATAGTTGCTAAATGAGTAAAAGGTGTCCAACAATCATTTCTCCTTTTAAAAAAATCATACACACAATGTAAAAACAAAATTTAAAATATCTATAAAAATACCTTACAGCTAGAATTGTCAATTATGACACTCAGCATACAGGTAAAGGTGACAAAACTAATGGGACAAATTGTTTTTTCATTGCAGCTGATCTTTACATATTTAAATTAAATTAAAAATTAAATTAATAAAGTTTCATTCTGAATCATAGAATTAGGATGTCTTCAGTCCGGATTTTAAAATCTGCAAACTTCAATTTTCAATTCAACTTTTTTTAAAGAGAGAGCTCGAACACGTTCTTCCCAAATACAGGAGGTTTGCACTCAAATGTGTGTGTGTGTGTGTGTGTGTATGTATGTGTGTGTGTGTGTATATATATATATATATAGTAGTAATGACTGGTCCTTGTTCATGCAGAAAAAGGGAAGTATCATTTGTAATGCAAATGTAGGTTTTTCATTTGCATTACAAATCCAACAAGTTAAGCAGCATGCCAGCCTTCTGTGTGAAAATGCCCTCAAAACAGACAGACATTGATAGATTTGTTGCTGGATCTGCTGCTGAATGTGTTGATTCTACCTAAAGAGTATCTTGACTGTTAGATATATTCAACAATAGAATAGACTGCATTGGAGGGTGATGGATTCTCCTTCTTTGAAGGTCTTCAAACAAAGATTGGAAGTACATCTTTCTCGGTTGCTTTAGCTGTCTGTTCCTTCATGGTAAGGGAGTGGACTAGAGATCCTTTCCAAGTCTATGATTATGTGATTCTATGATAAACTGTGGGCATTTGAGCAACAGTAGATTAAATTTTAGCTGGAAGATCATAACACAGCTAAATAAAATCTCATATTATCTGCTTTGAACTGGGATATATGACAGTTAACTTAGGGCCCTTCCACACAGCCCTATATCACAGAATATCAAGGCAGGAAATCCCACATTATCTGAATGTGGACTCAGATAATCCAGTTCAAAGCAGATGTTGTGGGATTTTCTTGATATTCTAGGTTATGTGACTGTGTGGTGTACTGTGTTCCACAAGTTGAAACTGTACTGTTAATTTAAGAGTGGGATGGAAATATTTTATATTAACTAATATCTCCAAACCTGAGGAATGTTACCTTTTTTGGATTACAATTCCCATAATCCACTATGTACAGAACAATTTTGGGCATTGTAACTTTGGTTCCCTTTCCTTTAAAATCTCTTACTCAAAGCAAGAAAATATAATGAAATCACTAACTTCACACTGAGGAAGGATCAGAGAAGAATAGCGTTTTTTTCCTCTCCCACCCCAAAATAAGCAAGAAATATTGAAGTACTTTATTAATGATTTCATGTGCCACTAGATGTTAGCTCTGATATGAATGGCCAGTCCTTAATGTCAGTACCCCATTGCTCGAACTTTTAAAAAGTGCCTCATTTCTATGTATTTGTTTGCTCATTCTAAGTGGCACAACCTTTTAAATATCTTCTCATGAGAATTATTTATATCCTGCTAAGTTAAAATGAGATCTCAATTTATTTCACTTTCAACTTCAGTGAGTCCTATTTATTTATTTATTTATTTATTTATACGCTTGTATACCGCTAATATCTCAGCCTAAGTCGGCGACTCACTGCGGTTTACAACATTTAAAAAACAGTATTCAGTTTAAAAGCATAAAACACATATACAATACAAATTATTGGGCCACCAATAATAATCCCATGCATCTCATAACTGGAATCGCAGTCCGAAATTCATCGTCCATGATTACCAATCCTTTAGTCATCAAAATTCGTTGCAACGGATTAACCGAATGCTTGTTTAAACATCCATGTCTTCAATCTATTCCGAAACACCATCAGCGAGGGGGCTGATCGTACCTCTATGGGGAGGGTGTTCCAAAGCCGAGGGGCCACCACAGAAAAGGCCCTGTCTCTCGTTCCCGCCAGCCGCACGTGTGAAGCCAGTGGGATAGAGAGCAGGGACTCCCCAGAAGACCTTAGGGTCCTGGTGGGCTGATAGGCTGAGATACGTTCGGATAGATAAGTTGGGCCAGAACCGTTTAGGGCTTTAAAGGCCAACGCCAGCACTTTGAATTGAGCCCGGTAGCATATCGGCAGCCAGTGGAGCTGGTGCAGCAGAGGAGTGGTGTGCTCCCTGCGCCCCGCCCCTATATCCCAGAAATCTAGGCAGAAAATCCCACAATATCTGCTTTGAACTGGGTTATCTGAGTCCACATTCAGACAATATGGGATTTTCTACCTTGGTATTCTGGGATATAGGGCTGTGTGGAAGGATCCCTAGCCAGTATTGTAAATGCTAAAGGGTTTTAGCATGCAAACARGACATAAAGATGAACAGGAAGATTATTGGAGAACCAAATGTAGAAGCTGACTGTCTTTGAACTAGAAAATCCACACATGTAGTTTAACTTGAATACAGTGAAAATGGCCAAAACGGGGGGGGGGGGGAGTAAATATCTGGGTAGGCAGGGCAAGAAAAAGTTGGTGAGATAAATAGCCATTCCATCCTGCTGTGAGAAAGAAGAATCAGAAAGAGATTTCAAATAGTGGGACCTCCATTCATGGACCTTCATGAAGCCAAGAGACAAAATGGGGACCCTTCCACACAGCCATATAACATAGAATACTGAAGCAGAAAATCCCAAATATCTGCTTTGAACTGGATTATCTGAGTCCACGCTGCCATATATTCCATTTCAAAGCAGGAAATGTGGGATTTTATTCAACTGTGTGGATAGGGCCTAGGATTCTATTTTTCTGGTTGTAGAGCCTGGCTTGCCAACGGGAAAGGAGCCTTATACGCAAGAAGGAAAACTACACTTAAAACTCTGTATTCATAGGAAGGGTTTAATGGGAACCAGAGAAGACTGGATGCCACTTATTGATGAAAACTAAGTAATAAAAGTTTGCCTCTCATATTGATGTAGCATTCAATATGATGTACTCACATCATAACTGATTTCCTTTTCCTCTTTTCAAGGTGTTTTTTAGCTTCAAAGGATGAGTAATGCTTTTAAGGTGGATTCTTCCAGGCACCCATTTCAATTTTGCAACAGTTTAGAAGAACTTTCAATATCAATCCAAAGAAACC